TTGCTCTGTGGAAACAGGACAAAGGGCAGTCTGCTCTCACTCTCCAGTGGATTCCTATTTACAGAAGGAGGTGTTTTCAGTGGGAGTCCTCCTCTTTTCCATCCACAGGCTGCTATTGGAGGGAGGAGAGAGCAGAATACTCCCTCTAGAAGCTATGGAATTCCCTGCTCTTCCTGACAGGACTGCTGTCACTCCTGTCAGCGAGGCAGCTGCAAAACAGAGTGGCTCCAGTGCACCTTTTTCCTTTCATATAACACTGCACCCAGGGCACTTAACCCTTCTGCCCCCACCCCTTGTTTCGGCCCTGGTGCCTACTGTCTTTTTGGCTCTCCCTGTTGAATTACTGTTGGATTAACTGACACCCATAGCATGCTGACATGAAGTGGTCAGAAATACAGAAAATTGTTTTCAAATACATACTGTAATTTCCTATTCTTGTCCTATCCTCATAACAGCATATGTTAGCATGGTTTTCTATTGAGAGCTAAGGGTTTCCCTGTACTCTTTTTTAAATATTAGTTATGGGTGTTCCTGTGGGATCAGTGAAGGAGGAGCTGACCCATAGCATCCTGACATGAGGATAGGCCAAGAAAGGAAAATAACAATTTTCCATGCTAAAACAGAAAACTACTTAGATGTGAATGCAGCCATTATGTTTATTTAGTGATTTTGCACCTGAGAAATATTTGTTAGGGAACAGAAAAAGTATTGCAAGTCCTACTTCTCTCTTTGCAAGTTCTTTTTTGAATTGACAACTGTATAGGCATTGTGGGGTCCCCTAGAAATCATAAGACGAGATTCACGATAGGTGTATGGTGTCACCTTCTTTAAAGAAGGGCTCCTGGATCCCCGACACCCAGACCTACCATTCCTAAATGACCTTAACTCTAACTAGACATATGTCTGACCTCCTGCTTATATTTATGGTATTCTTTGGACTTTGTTATATGAGCCCTTTAGGCCCAATTTTGCAGATGGTAACATATTAGACACCAATTTTATTACATTTGTTCTCTCCGTCTTTGTTTTGGACTAAAAATGTATAAATAAAGACAAAATTGAAAACCGATTGCTATTTCTACTTAGGCGTATAAAGGTGAAGTAATGACTTTCAAAAGTTACATGCTTGCTTATGTATCTTCTTCTAAGAGTGATTTCTCAGTGATTCCACAAGGTGGTGCTTTATTCATCTGCTTCAGTGAGGTATTTTTGGGAAGAAGCTCATGGAATATAACTGGAAATGTATTTCCTTACTAGCTACAATTAGGTTAAACTGTTAAAAGAACTCTTTAATGGATAAGCAGACAATGTTTTAAAAATGAGGAGGTGTGAAACCAGTAAATACAACCAATTAACATTGTATCTCTTTTCAACTAATATGCAATCCAGATCCTGAGCCAAGAGCCTGACGTAAATTGCATTTGTGCCAACCTCTCTCATTATCAAACCCGGTTGAGAACGTTATGCTAATACTGTGATTTAAAATCATATTTATAATCCCCCCAAAAATCCTGGAATTGAATACATACAGTAGCTGCTCTGTGTTTGTAACTCAACATAGCATTATGTTTTATATCCTTTTTTAGAGCAAATAAAAAAAAAAAAATCTTATAACTTTATATTGTGGCTGTGACACTTCCTGTAGGAGGGTGACATTGCTTACTACCGAACTTGCAATACAACAGTATCATTGTCCCACTTTCATGAATGCACAGCCAGTGCTCTCCCTCCGTTGACTGACAGCATCTATATAAACAAGCAGTATTGTCAGTTTCTGCACCTAAGCATTTCTGTGACTATATAAAAAAAAAACTGCGCTTAGTGCTGAAATAATAAAAACTCCAAAATTGCACAGCTGCACTCAAAAAGCATAAAAAATACAAATGCTCAATAAGATTAAATATTAATATTTTAAATATGTAAAAAATAATATTGTTGTGCTGTGTGTGTGATAATCCAAATTTATGCAAACAAATTATCAATTGGGTATTAATGCTAGATGCAAACAAATTATAATCGCCAAAATTGTGAAAACTGTGAAGACAACAAAGTCCACATAAGTCCATACACATATACAGTCAGGTCCATAAATTTTGGGACATCGACACAATTCTAACATTTTTGGCTCTATACACCACCACAATGGATTTGAAATGAAACGAACAAGATGTGCTTTAACTGCAGACTGTCAGCTTTAATTTGAGGGTATTTACATCCAAATCAGGTGAACGGTGTAGGAATTATATCAGTTTGCATATGTGCCTCCCACTTGTTAAGGGACCAAAAGTAATAACAGAATAATAATCATAAATCAAACTTTCACTTTTTAATACTTGGTTGCAAATCCTTTGCAGTCAATTACAGCCTGAAGTCTGGAATGCATAGACATCACCAGACACTGGGTTTCATCCTTGGTGATGTTCTGCCAGGCCTCTACTGCAACTGTCTTCAGTTCCTGCTTGTTCTTGGGGCATTTTCCTTTCAGTTTTGTCTTCAGCAAGTGAAATGCAAGCTCAATCGGATTCAGGTCAGGTGATTGACTTGGCCATTCCACAACATTCCACTTCTTTCCCTTAAAAAAAACTCTTTGGTCGCTTTTGCAGTATGCTTTGTGTCATTGTCCATCTGCACTGTAAAGCAGCGTCCAATGAGTTCTGAAGCATTTGGCTGAATATGAGCAGATAATATTGCCCGAAACACTTCAGAATTCATCCTGCTGCTTTTGTCAGCAGTCACATCATCAATAAATACAAGAGCACCAGTTCCATTGGCAGCCATACATGCCCACGCCATGACACTACCACCACCATGCTTCACTGATGAGGTGGTATGCTTAGGATCATGAGCAGTTCCTTTCCTTCTCCATACTCTTCTCTTCCCATCACTCTGGTACAAGTTGATCTTGGTCTCATCTGTCCATAGGATGTTGTTCCAGAACTGTGAAGGCTTTTTTAGATGTCATTTGGCAAACTCTAATCTGGCCTTCTTGTTTTTGAGGCTCACCAATGGTTTACATCTTGTGGTGAACCCTCTGTATTCACTCTGGTGAAGTCTTCTCTTGATTGTTGACTTTGACACACATACACCTACCTCCTGGAGAGTGTTCTTGATCTGGCCAACTGTTGTGAAGGGTGTTTTCTTCACCAGGGAAAGAATTCTTCGGTCATCCACCACAGTTGTTTTCCGTGGTCTTCCGGGTCTTTTGGTGTTGCTGAGCTCACCGGTGCATTCCTTCTTTTTAAGAATGTTCCAAACAGTTGTTTTGGCCACGCCTAATGTGTTTGCTATCTCTGATGGGTTTGTTTTGTTTTTTTCAGCCTAATGATGGCTTGCTTCACTGATAGTGACAGCTCCTTGGATCTGATCTTGAGAGTTGACAGCAACAGATTCCAAATGCAAATAGCACACTTGAAATTAACTCTGAACCTTTTATCTGCTCATTGTAATTGGGATAATGAGGGAATAACACACACCTGGCCATGGAACAGCTGAGAAGCCAATTGTCCCATTACATTTGGTCCCTTAACAAGTGGGAGGCACATATGCAAACTGTTGTAATTCCTACACCATTCACCTGATTTGGATGTAAATACCCTCAAATTAAAGCTGACAGTCTGCAGTTAAAGCACATCTTGTTTGTTTCATTTCAAATCCATTGTGGTGGTGTATAGAGCCAAAAATGTTAGAATTGTGTCAATGTCCCAATATTTATGGACCTGACTGTATGTTCAATAAAAGGAAACTGTGAGAAATGTGAAAACAATAAAGTCCATATAAAGCAAAAGTCCGTACACTTATGTGTTCAATCAAAGAAAATTGTGTCCATCATATTCTTCAAGCCCAATGATAACTGACCAATGCGCCCACCATTGCTATCATGCAGCCTCTTACCGAATCATTAGACCCCAAATTATAGGTAATCTAAACTAGTGTGAAGCTGCATGGGTCTTGCTTCATGGGTCTATTCATATAGGGAACACACGCTGTATCCCGATGCTATACTCTGCTCCAGCCTCCATGTTCCATGTGATGGCTTGGCCAGAAAAGGTGAGACTCCAATAGTGTGAAACCGTTAAATGTTTAAAAAGATCAAAATACAAATCTACTTACAAAGCTCTAAAATATGTAAGCACATACTGTATGTCATGTTTCACATGACTGTTATATTGACTGTCATATGCCTTTAAGTGTTTTCTATATTTTGTCTCTGCTCCTCCCTTTCCTTTTGTTTAATTAATGCTGTATAGATAGCCCACCCCTTTTCCCAGAAATGCATTGCAGCTCTAGCCTCATGTCATGAAGCAGGACACATTATGATCTTTTGACCTATCAGATGTTCATTGTTGTAAGATTCTCTCAGTTCATGGAATAAACTTAACAAGATCTACAAGATATCATCTTGATTGAGTCACTGACTGTGGTATCCAACTGAGATTGGGGTTATCACTATCTCATCACAACTGTAAATTACAGAGATCACACTTTCAATGCTTAGATTGGAGAGACAGAACAATATAATTATAAAAACACCACTGATACCAGCTCCACACTGGCATGGGTGACATCAGCACAAACTCCATCCTGCTCCGATATACATCATGTCCAGCGGTACTAGTGGCATTTTTATAATTATGTGCAGGAAGGGAGACTGAAGCAGAGTATACTATTGGGATGCAGCTTCACGCTAGTTAAGACCACCTATAATTTGGGGTCTAATGATTTGATAAGAGGCTGCATGATTAGCAGCAGTGAGCGCACTGGTCTCTTTTATTGAACACATAAGTATATGGGCTTTTGTTTTCACAGTTTTGGTGATTATAATTTGTTTGAATCTAGGGTTAATACCCAATTGATATTTTGTTTACCTAAACATTCCTATCAGTTAGGGCTGCCCAATGACTAGGGATGAGCTGAACATACAGTTCGAGGCAAGTTCAATTAACATTACAGATGTTCACATGCCAAATCTGAACCCCATGGTCAGGAGCGGACTACCTGAGGGCCCGGGGTCAGTAGGGGGCCCCATGAGATGCCTCTGGTACCTTTTTCATAGGCTTTTTTTGAGTTTGGGCAAGGACATAGGGGCCCCATTATCCCCTATTGCCTGGGGGCCCCATGAGTTGTCAGTCCGCCCCTGCCCATGGTAGTCAATAGGAGCAGAATTTTAAAAATGGTAATGACCATTATCTAGGCTAATACTGTAGACAAGAGATTGCCAAACAAATGGCATGGGGGGCTGGGCACTGCCATGGGGAACATGTACCAATGCAAAATAATTTTTTAAATCCTGTTTGGCAGGGAGGAGTGATTTTATTAATATTTAAAGTGAAACATAAAAAACTGCAAAATTCCTTTAAATAACATTCCTGGGGTATGTCCTTAACCATGCATGTGAAGTGGTGTATCTGTATAATGTATACAACCTACTACAGCAAAACTAATATAAAAAAATGCTGTTTCAGTTGTTGACAAAATCAGCAGCTTCAGCTGCTTTAATTCTGTCTGAAAACACAGCCAGGGTTCCTTCATTTATACCAGACCTTATCATAGATGAAATGATGAGGGTCTGGTATAGATGTTAACTAGGGATCCCACAAAATAAGGCGTAGTGTTCCCCCCAAAATGCATACCAGATGCTTCAGGTCTGATATGAATTTTAACTGCTTCAGCTCTGCCCCATAACAGAAATACTGCTACAGGGTGGCAGCTGTGGGCACACAAATCATGTATATATACTTGATTTCACATTTCCGGGTAGGGCGGCCGTGGCTGTCAATTACTGGGTCCCAGTGATTATTCGCCAGAGTCCGGTGATTGCCGAGGATCTCCGATAGGGGGAGAACTGTTAGTAAACAAAACAGTTCTCCTTCCTGCCAGCTCTGGCACACTACTTTGCATGGCTGTGCACAGCACAGCCATGCAAAGCAGTGTGCTTAAAGTGAAGCACAAATACAGAACATGATGTAAAACAGTACACAGTTAGCCCTTTGATAGCCCCAGATGTTAACCCCTTCATGCCCAGTGCCATTAGTACAGTGTCAGTGCTTTTTATTAGCACTGGTCACTGTATTGGTGTCACTGGGAATGTCAGTGGCACCAAGTCAGTTCCCCCCAATGTCAGAATGCCTGCCGCAGTCCCACTATAAGTCGCTGATCGTCACCATTACTAGTAACAATTAAGAAAAAAGCCCAGTATATATATACTGCCATTTGTAAACGCTATAACTTGCACGTAACACAATTAATTTACACATATTGGGATTTTGTTTAGCAAAGACATGTAGCAGAATACATTTTTTTACTGGACATGTTTAATAGCAAAAAGTCAAAAATATTGTTTTTTTTTCAAAATTGTTGGTCATTTTTTTTATAGTGCAAAAAATAAAAACCGCACAGGCAATCAAATACCACTGAAAGAAAGCTCAATTCATGGTGGAAAAAAAGGACATACATTTCATTTGGGTGCAGTGTTGCATGACTGCGCAATTGTCAGTTAAAGTAATGCAGCGTCATAACGCAACAAATGGCCTGGTCAAGAGGGGGGGGGGGGGGGGGTAAATCCTCTGGAGGGCAAGTGGTTAAGTGGGACCCATGCAAAAAACAAAACAAAAAATAAAAAAAAAAAAAACTGTGTGGGACCCACTCCAAATTTCATGACAGACCCTGCAGAAACCTTAAAATATGTATACAAGTGCCGAACAATCTTATATGTGTGGTCCTCTTTAAAATTCATACATATCTGAAGGTCTTGGAATTAAATATGGGGGGAATCCCTTGCCACTTTTCCCAAGCTGCTTTGTTTATATGAAATTTTACATGGATTTACAGTAAATTAATGGGGTCAGATCAAATCACTGGTTGCCAAGGATGTGGCAGGTGCCAGCAGCCAACACTTCCTTAACAACCTTGATAACAGATGAAGGAAGCTGTCTTATATATTATTGAGAGAGAAATACGAAGGGTCTTCAAAATGTTTCCAAACTTTTTTTTTACTTTATTTATTAAGAATTTCAAAACCAATGTTGCAAACTCTTATACAAAACTGCAAGGTCAGTTGGCTTGCCAGATAGACTAGTCACATGACACTCTCAGACATGACCAATTCCTATACTTCCATCCCTCGCCGTTTCCAATGAAAATGTAAAAATGTGGAAACTTTTTGAAGACCCCTCGTATATGATGTTTGGTTCCTGCTGAATGTCTAAAAAGTCCACAGTTTGGATTGATGCCCAAAGAAGCAAAACATTTTGACCAAACAGAGTTCATCCCTACTGATGACATCAGTTGAAGTAATATTCTGCTGCAGCTGCACTCTGGTCTCTGTCTTTGACAGCATCGAGTGAGATGTGAAGATAGCTCTCATGTTACCATTATACAAATTTTATGAAAATGTATCAATATACTTTTCGTTTTGGATTTTTATTTATCAGCATGCAATTGTTCAATATACCACCTGTTATATCATTTGGATTTACAATATTTTTATATAGTATGCTTTACCCATAGTATGCTTTAGTCCCAAACTATCTTGCCACTGCTCCCCATGTAGTCTGGGCATTCGGGGGGCTCCACGTGACTATCTTTTCCCTCGTAAATCCAAAACTTATATCTATAGCCTGTTACCCTCTCACAGGTCTTCTACATCTTGACCCCATATCTGGCACGCTTGCTGGAAAGAAATTGTTTGAATGCAAGACAGCCAGAAAAATGAATGAGGGGCTCATCAACGCAGATGTTTTGCTGGGGAGTATAGACATCTGCAAATTTTGTGTTAAGGTGATTTACGAGGGGCTGAATTTTGTGGAGCCGGTCAAATTCAGGGCCACCCGAGGATGACAGAGTATGTTGTCATTGAAATGCATAAAATGCATTATACTCTCATATGTATACCTGGCCATGGAAGCAGAGAACAGGGGCATATGATGAATCAGGTCTGTAAACCAATACAACCGCAATACAATTTTAGTAATGCCCATGTTGAGCGTTAGGCCCAAAAAAACCCGTTAAATTCGGAAACTGTAATGGGTTTCTATGTGAATGGTCTGGCAAGGTTTGAATATGGGTTGGCGGTGATAAACTGTTGTGCATAAAAATTGCTTTGATCCACAATCAACGCATACAGATATTCCGTGAAAAATAGCTCCAAAAAATCAAGGGGAGTATTTAAATTTGCTGTTTCCACCTGAATTCCGGGTTGGGCAGTGAATGGGGGAAGTACGGGTGCTGCACAATTTGTGGGGGATTTGCAAGCACATTCGGAAGGATACTAGGGGCTCTACGGGCCTGTGTGCAAATTCTTGGTGGCTGCGGGACACTACTTGTGCTCTCCACCGCACCAGCTTGTATTGCATGCACTTATGGGACTCACCACGTCACTAAGTGATGCTGCAGTGCTGGTATGTGAAAGACCAGGATGTACTAGGCTGTTGGTGCTCGCCAGTTCACCAAAAGTTAGAGCGGCACTAGTACTGGCATTCTGCTGCATATGAGCGTCATCGTGTGTTTGGAACATCTCAGCAACCTGGGAATGGGGTCAGGTACACCTGATCTTAGCAGGGACCTCTTCTCCATTGTCTGAGATAACTGTCAGGGTGCTGCTGCTGTCTAAAGGTTCATATTCTGAGGCTGATTGTGTCAGAAAGTCTTCCCCTTCGCTCTCACCTGACATGCTCAGAATCCTGTAGGCCTCTTCGCTAGAGAACCTTTCGTTGGACATTGTGGCAACTAAATGTATAGGTACCTAGTGCGACTCATGAGAAAAAGAGCACCTGGCTGTCAGGGACTGCTTGAACCGCTACAAAAAAAGTACCAGAAAGTGCTAACAGAGATCAGGCCTGATTCTGCAAACACTGCAGTTTTGTGTGTAATGTGACCTACTGACACTGCACTTGCTGGGGGAGAAGGGGGGGGTAAGCATAGGGGCTAAATGCAGGTTCTGGCATATGCCTGGGCTGATCCCGCTAACGCTGCATTTTTGGGGACACTATACTAATGTAAACGCTGGTATAGTGCTGATCTGATCAAAGATATTGATCTGTTCAGACACTATACTAGTAATGGAGGTTTGTTGTGTATGTGAGCGTGTTCCTGGCAATCAAGGGGTTAAATGTGATTACTGGTGCACTGACAGGCAATCTGACGCTATTTGGGAGGGGCGCTAACTGACGCTAACGCTATCTGAAGTCACCGGTGACACTAATACAGTGATCAGCAAAAAAATCTGTACACTGTACTAATGACACTGGTGACTAGTGGTGTATCTACCACAAGGAAAACAAGGCAATTGCCTCGGGGCATCATTTTTCAGGGGGCAGGGGCAGCGGCAGCTTTCACGAGGGCAGAAGCCTTTTTCAAGGGGGCAACACTGCCCCCCAAAATAGGGGATGGAAGAAGGGACACACACAGCACGGGGACCAGGTGGGATCTGAGAGAGGCTGCAGGCTGCTTTATGGTGTATGCAGAGCCTGACTCTTGTTCCTGGGGATGTCCTGAGCTGTGAAGGTGAGTATCTTCTCTTTCGCAGGAGGGGGGGTTGCCAGTATATGGGGGGCGGTAGTAGTGGAAGGCTCTCTCGCATGGAGTGGGGGTGCTGGGGTGTTGCTGATCAATGTCAGGCTCTCTTCGTGGGGGAGGGGGGTGTTGGTCACTGTCAATGTCTTTCCGTGGGGCAGGAGAGCCAAATTTTGTGTTGCCTAGGGCAGCATGAAAACTAAACACACCACTGCTGGTGACAGGGCAGTGAAGGGGTTAACTGGGGGTGGGGGCACGATCAAGGGGTTAAAAGTGTCCTAAAGTGTTCTAAACTGTAAAAGTGTGCTGCTTTTACTCACTGTGTGTTGATTCTTCTCTCTGTGGGAAGGAATGTGCCCAAAGAGAGAAGATGTCATCATTAGATACAGGGACAGGGATCGATCATCCGACTTTGGCCAACCATCACTGGCCTAAAGCAGGTGATGGATCCCTTGGGTCGGCAGGGGCACGCACACGCACCCCTTTCGGCCTGCGAAAACCGTGGGAGCTCAAATCACGTATATATACGTGATTTTGCGCACCTGTCCTTCCCTGTAGCAGTATTTCTGCTGTGGTCAGGAAGCGATTAAAGGAATGTAATTTAAACAGTCACAAATCGGCTGATTTGCTAAAACTGGAGAGCAAAATCTGGTGAAGCTGTGCATTGGTAGCCAATCAGCTTCTAACTTCAGCTTGTTCAATTAAGCATTAACATAAAAACCTGGAAGCTAATCGGTTTCTATGC